TAAGAATACCTTTCAAGAATTTAGAACCACATATTGTCTTGTGTAAATTAATCAGACAACAATAATAGTTAATCAACGAATATTGTTGATTTTCTCTATAAGTTAATGGTTGAAACAATAGAAAAGTGAAAAATATCTAAGTGGGAATTCTAGGAAATTTAATTTAATCAAGATTATTTAGTTCAATTAACTAAAAAAATATACCTACAAAAAACGATGAGGAATATGAAGTCAAATAAAATCAATAGGATTAATCCTCTATTGATTAATAAAACAATGATGAATGGATAATTAAATAGGGTTTAGTATTAACTATAATATAGATTTCATTGAATAGCTTCACAGAAACAATTAATCAATTTTGTTAACAAACTCTCATTTAATTATGGGTCTGAGAAAAAGATTAAAGAGTTAGAAATTTTTTTGAAAAATTAACACTTAATAAGTTTATAGATGTAAATTTTGTAAAAAGATTGGTAGACTTTACATGATAGAATTGCAGGAGAGATGTAACAACTGCTGAAGAAGATTGATGAATTGTAAGAATCAATTACCCAGGAGGCAAATCTTAACAAAAGAGAGCTATAATTGAAAGAAATAGATGAAACAACTCAGCATTTGGATGAATACATTTAAAATATCAGCGAAATGGGTTAATAACTCAGTTTGGTAACTGATTTTGTAAATCATATCAGAAAGGGTTTGTTAAGAGTTGAGGGAAAAATAAATCAAATAAAAAAGCAGCTCAACAACATGGGGAATGATATTAAATTTTTGAGAGGAAAAGCAGTTATATAATTACTTGAAATTAGAAAATGGAAAGTGTTGAAGGAAGCAGCAGAAAAAAATGTTAAGTCCATCTATATACCATTAAAAACTTAAGAGAGAGGTAAAAATGAGATCAGTAATTTGATGAAAAAGAAGGAGAAGTGAATGAGTTTTTATATGAAGAGAAAACAGTATTGCTAATTCATGGATTAGCTGGATCCGGCAAACTTACTACAGCCAAAAAAATTGGAGAGTTTATTTGGAAATTCCATGATAGTAATAAAAAAATTGGGAATTATGTACTAATACCTGTTTATATTTCATTACCCTCTTTAAAAACCCTGTTTTTTAAGCAGTAGAGGAATCACTTAAATAAGATAATTATGGGTTTGATGCTCTCTATTTGAAAGAATGTAAAGAAATGTTGTAAAAGAAAGAATTCCGATTCATATTAATAATGGACATTTATGATGAAATGAAGCTAGAGAATATTTAGAAAATTTTATACATTAATAATAAGCTAAAATAAAATTGGTCAGACCCTCTTGTTATTTTTGCCACCAGAAGTGACATTTTTACTAGCAGCAATTATGCCGACTGGTTTGCACCTGAAGATAAATAGAAATTTAAAGAAATCTAGCTTCTTCCTTTTGAAGAGAGTTAAAAATAAGAATATCTTAAGAAATTTACGATTTAAAGTAGTAAAATGTTAATTTTTGATATACATGAATGGTAAATGTAAACTTAAAACCAAAAAGCTCTGGATTTTAAAAGGTTTGAACAGAGTTGGGAAAAGGTATAGTCACCATTTTTGAAATTCGATGAACCAAAGTGGAAATCTGAGACTCTTTTGAATGAAAAGTAAATAATCAGTATTTTATAATTTTTGAAAGATGATGATTTAATTGCGTTAAAAAGCAATGAAGCTGAGCATAAATTTACAAAAATTATGGAGTTTGAAAAAGTATGAAGATATGATGACCTTGGTAAATCTAAATAAATTAGTGGAAACTCCATATATGATGGAAATTATAATGTAAGTGTTGCCCAACATGATTCTTAAAGCAACTGAGTTTAATAAAATTAAATAAACATTCTTGAAGAATTTTTCAAAGATTTTTAAAGAATTCATCATAAGTAAATACAGAATTCAGATGTATAAATCACAACAGAAAAGGCATTTGTTAGTGTAAATAAATGAAGTTAATAAAGAATCTGAAGCAGAAATTTAAGTTAATTATGATGAATCCTTGGAAGTTACCCATAAAGATTTATAAAATTTGGAAACTTTGGATTACCATTAAATTGCTTTTAGAGTT